GTTATTAATATAGCAGCTACAGGCCCACTGCCTTTTACTCCCATTCTCTTTCCCTGTGTGAGAAAATAAAGAACTTCAGTAATTATTGGGTCCCTTTTTGAAATTTAACATAACAATACCCTAGTATTCCTTCATATTTTTTTTAGAGGAGAGAATAATGGTTAGGGACTTGAACCCACTACCTTATACTAAAAGTTTGGGTGCTTAACTAACAAACTAGGTTTTTCGCCCTCTTTTTATGTTGAAAATTACTCACACAAAAATCGACATCTAATGTGGAAGGAATCGTGCAAGACAGGTGTGAAATTACCAATCAGATAGAACCACTTCCAACAATGATTAAAACTGCATACTCGGAAGCTACTGAAAATTACCTGGTTAGCAGATGATGCAGTGTTGTATCTGCAATTCAAGTAACCAAAAGAAAATGGTCATAATAAAGTGAATCACAATGGCGCTAAAGCACTAAACATGAGGACTTATAGATTACAAGTTCCACTCTTACTTTGAGAATGCTGACAAATCCGAGTGTCTTAACACATTGCGATCGTCATTTGCAGCATTTCGGTCATCTACTGTGCCTCTTGGTCTTGTCAAAGTTAATTCTAGGGATGGCATTTCTCCAGGATCACTGCATGCTTTGTCTTTAATCTGCAAGATACCAGAGGCGGCATTTGGAGTGTCAATGTCTTTGCTTTCATACTCCGGAATGGCAGACTTCGTGATTTGATTAAGTACACTAAGAGCTCTATCTCTTGGTTTCCCAGTCGAATTATCATTGCTATGCTCCAGCTTTTCACCATCAAGAAGTTTATTATCTCCTTCAGGAAACTTAGTTTGCCTTTTCTTTGATTTGGGGGTAGATAAATTCTCACACTGATCTTCACATTCGAAATCTGGAATTTTTAATACTCGTACTCCATCCTTGCCTATTTCAGCATTATCTTTAGAATCAAATGCACAGAATATCATCAACAAAAATAAGAAACTAAAATGGTTAAAATCACAAAAAAAGAAAAAAAGATTCCAGATATTGAAAATGATTGAACTAGGCATACCAAGCTGTTCATCTTGCTCTTGGTAGTCTTTTGTGTCAGCAACATGCATCCACCTGTTGCTAAAAGTTCCTGGCTCTGTGCGGATCACCTGAGCACAAGTGCTATCAGGAGCATCGGTCAACTGGTAGGAGGGTGACATTGGCTGTGGGCTGTCAATCTCAGCAGCCTTTTTTGTCCATGAACTCTGAAAAATAAGAGCACAAGTATACTTTCCTTCTGTCAGAAATAGTCTCTTATATTATTAAAAGCCTAACCTCCAATTTGAGAGTGGCCTTCAATGATTTTTAACCAAAATTTTATCTTTAAGTGCAAAAGAATGGAGAAAGAAACAGATGCATATCGGGGGTGGTGTTGCACGTGGGCGGAAAGGAGGGTTGACAATGGAGAACAGAAAAAAGAAGAGAGAACCATAAATCACGGATGCATAAGATGAAAAACAGAAAGAAGTGCAGGCAAAAAGTATTTACATATCAGTTGCAGATATAGAAGTTACCGGCACTAATTTACTCTCTACTTTCATGATATGATAGATAATTTCGGCATTCTTTCATTAGTGCAAAGAAAAATTTTTAGACCATTGAAATGCTTCTGGTTCAGTAATGTCAAGCTCAAGTAGGAAAGCATACTTCTCAAAACGAACTGTAGAACTCAAGTAAATTGAGATGGGATGGTACATGAGAAATGTATACCTGTGTACCGCTTCCATTGTCACTTCCATCCCCAGTACTAGGACCATTGCTTCCATTATCATGTTCATCACTGCTGCTTGTATTATTTTCAGATTCGTCAATGCTTTTTGACTTTACAGATTTTTTCGTGTGTGTCCCACTTTCACTCCCACTACCGCTAGACTGAGAGAATATGAGAAATTAATACAAAGTTGAAGAGTGAATTCAGCATTCACTATTGATGAGTCAACTGGATGATGATAAAGCAACAAAGATAAACTTTAGGGCATAAAAAGAATATCAGCCAGTAAATTTACACGTGATGTGAAACACAGAAATGCCTATTACTCGAATTCATAGCAATAACTAACATCGATTTTAAAAGAAGAATGTTTTGCACCAATTCACAATATCTAAACTAGAATCTTAAACAAGAAAGTAAGGGTGCTTACACTGTGGCATCTCCTCCAAACATGCTGCCAGAGGTTTTTCAATTCATTTTTCCGAATAGGTTTCACAAGAAAATCAACTGCACCCTTTGACAAACACTTAAAGACCAGACCCATAGAGTCATGAGATGACATCACTGCAAATTTTCACCCATCAGAAGTGGTCAATCAAGTGCCTCATATCAGCAGTTGTGCAAAAATGAACCTTACATATTAGCACAAATAGTGAAAATAACTTACTTATAACAGGAATATTCTTGAAAGTTATATGGTTCATAATCTCGCATAAGAGACCAACACCTGATAATACAGGCATGACCACCTCTGTTAGGACAAGATCGATATGATTGTTAAAATCTTCTAGAATTTTCCAAGCTTGAAGACCATTTGCAACAGCTACAACTGCCAATATCAGATTTAAGATTATTAAGTGCATAGGAACAACAGAAAAAGTTAAGTTTGTCAAGCAGTTTATTAGACTTCATTAGAAGGTAAATGTCATCATCAACTAGCACAAGGATATGCAATCGAGCAGTGGAATCAATCGACAACTAGATCATACAGTAGAACTGAGATCTATAAAACTAATACAACATATTAGTTACAAATCCAAATCCTACGAGATGTGGGACTATCATAATCATAACATGGTATTAGAGCCGAGGTGACTTATCACTATGAGAAATGCACGAAGACATGTAGCTGTACCTCTGAGCATTTTTATAACCCCCGAATTCAATATAAATACTCACCTTCATAACTGCAGTTTCGTAGCAAAGCACTAACAACCTGGCGTGTCGAATCATCATTTTCTACCAAAAGAACCTTGAGAGACCTAACTGGGAGAAACCTTTCCCAACGTATCATGGAACCTTGAGGTTGTTGTTGAGGTATCTGCAACACATCATGCACCTGGAGCTGTCCTCGCGACACATTGTTTGCATTTACATCATCAACCCTTGACTCATCTTCCTCAGATGACCCTAATCCTTGCCTCTCACTAACTACTCCATTGGCAACTTCCTTTTTGTCATAACACATATGGTTATTTTGTTCTGTTAACCCTCTATTCTCAACACTGTCATGACCCACTGGAGCAGCCCCCACAGACCAGATTCAAAAAGACCAGTAATGAGGAATGCATGTTCATGTGAATGAATCTTGTTTAATCTAAAAGAATACTCATACATGTTTTCCTCGGAACAGAACTCTGCATATCTAAATCCTTCACCAAAATCTCAAACCCAAAAATGTAATATAATTAAAAAGAGAATAATGAGTAAAAACCATCAAGGAAATAACATTTACGAGAGAATAAGTAACTTCTAAATCATATTTCAATACATCATGATGATCAACTAGAGGTAAAAAGAAGCCTACTACTTGAACAGTTATTGAAAAATATTTAGTCGTTGATCTTATTCGTTGTTAGCGATAAACATAAATTATAATACAAACAAGATTATATTTATTCCTTTACCACTTACAAATTTCATGAGACAAAAAGAGAATTAAAAGGCAGACTACTCGTTCTCAAAAGTTCCATAAAACTTCTAAATAGTAAGCCAAAAACATATGTCAAACAAAACGTTTAATATAAATTATTTTTGTTGAATTCCAATACTATACCAAAAGGCTTAATATAAATTATTTTAGTTGAATTCCAATATTATAACCCACTGAGAACTTTAAGAGACTAAGGAAAATGATTTCTAACACAAAATTTTGTGTTTAATCCCTGAAAGAAAACAATACCGTAGCAAAATATCAGATCTAAAAGCAAAAAAAACATAATCAATCTTAAATCACTCTCCAAATTCATCACCTCGTAGATATCAACCCAAAACACTGAATCTACGAACTTTAAGAGACCAAGGAAAATGATTTCTAACACAAAATTTTGGGTTTAATCCCTGAAAGAAAACAATACTGTGGCAAAATATCAGATCTAAAAGCAAAAAAAACATAATCAATCTTAAATCACTCTCCAAATTCATCACCTCGTAGATATCAACCCAAAACAGTGAATCTACCATACCTTGTATGACAAATAATAAACAATAACGAAAACAGAACTAAGAATACTATGTAGACCAATCAGTCAAGGATTAACAATATACAGAGTTCTATATAAAAATTTTGAGAAAACAGAGAGAAAAAAAACTCAAAAAAGCACCGGTACCCACAAATTTAAGAGGAAAAATGCAGGCCTTCTCTGTTTGGTCACCTATAAAAAAATAGTAGAAACAAATAAGGAAACTAATCAAGAAAAAACAATAATATAAATTTTAAAAAATACAAAGATATCTCAGTTTCTCAGATCCAAGATTTCAAATTTCTTTCTCTTACCTTTTCTCGGCTGCCAAGCAGAGCATTAGACACTAGATTAGTAAGCTATTTTCAGTCAAAAGAAAAAAAAAAAGCACACAAACTTCCGGGTAGAAAATGAAAATTTAAGAAAAGGATATAGAGAAAATGAAACCTTCAGAGATTATGCACGTCAGGAGAAGATGAAGCCTCCATTTTCAACCTCGGTGGAGCACAATAATAACAGTACCAGCCAAAATCTGTTTAATCTGGCTTCCGGCACTTTGTATCTGTATCTTCAACTACAAATCAAGCTCTTGAAGATCAACAATGCCCTTTTTTATTTTTTTTATTTTTTTATTATTAAAAAAAAAAAAAAAAGCTTGACTGGTAAAGAAATTGAGAAGCTAAAGTTGAGAGACAGAGAGGAGAGAGAAAGAGGAGCGGAAGGGGGGAGGGATGGGGGAGGGGAGAAGATATTATTCGGGAGATGCTGACGTGTAACAAGTGGAGGTCCAGAGAGGCTTAAGTGTCCACGTGTAAAGTGGGACCATACGACGTGGATAAATCAAAGCCATCGGTGATCTGCTGACGTGTACAAAATCAAAAGCTGGGATTTCAAAGCCTTAGCGCGGATCTTATAGCGATCCTCTAGATCTCGAGACGGAACACGTGGCTTCTTTCGGAATCAGTTAAAGGTCTGTTTGCGTTGGGGAAATTAAAGAAAAGGGGAACCCTAGAAAGGTGGATACGGCGACGTTTAAGGTCATAGTTGATTCTTGTAAGAACCCTTCTCTCATTTTTGCTTGAATTTTTTTTAAGACAATTTCTCCATATATATATAGAGAAAATATATACAATGGTTATTTTCATTACCCTTAAAAAGATTTATCCCTAAATTATTGATAATTCGTTTATACTTGATATAAACTTAATTCTAATTTTAAATCTAAAAAACAACTATATTAATTTATTCATATTTTGTAAATAAATTTTCCTTTATTTTAAATAAATAATTTAAGTCATTTGTGAATTTGATGTTGTTAAAATTGTAGTACTTTTTACATTGGTAATTTTATATTATTCTAACTACAATTAATAAATTTTTCTCTAAAGATAAAAATTAAGTTTTAAGTAAAAAGACAAAACCTAAATATTTCTTCGATCTGTGTGCATTGGCTAACCCCTAAACGGTGCGTTTTATGGACCCGTGGCATCAAATGAAACGGCGCCGTCTTTACGCTATCTCGAAGACTTCACACGGCGTCGTTTCACTGGGAGCGGAAATTGAGCGGAATAACAAGCGACTGAATCGGGAGAAAAAATGAAAGGAAAAGAATCAGAGATAGGAATGGCGTTAGTGAGATCAGTAGCGTTGAGAGCTATCAAAGGATCTTCATCTTCTTCATCAGTCTTCTATACGAGATGGGTCCAATCCGGTCGAGCTCAGGTCCACCTCATGAGGTCGTTCTCGGCGATTATGTCGCCGCCGTCCAAGGCCGTCGTCTACGAGCAGCAAGGCCCGTCAGACTCCGTCACCAGGTTTTCCATGTCTACCCGTGTATATATCTCTATATATGTATAATACTGGTTAATTTTACTTGTTTTGGACAGAATAATTGAAGTGCCACCAGTAGAAGTGAGAGAAAATGATGTGTGCGTTAAAATGCTGGCAACTCCTATTAATCCTTCTGATATAAATAGAATTGAAGGTTTGTTTTTCTTTTTCTCTTTTCTTCCTTCTATTTTATATTTCTTGTTTTCTGTCCAGCTGTTCTATGTGTAGTTGTTTTTGCTAAATTGGGTTTGGTTTATTTGAAAAGTTAGATTTGATAAAAAGTGAACCGAGCATAAAGAAGCTAAATGGCTCGTCAAGTTTAGCTTTTTTAATAATCTGCTAAATGGGTTCTTGAGCTTCGTTAATTTAGGTTAGGCTGTATTTGGAACAAAGAAATTACAATCTAAGTTATTTACAAATTCATACTCAAGTTCAACTAACTAGTATATATATAATAGAATGACCATAAAAATAATTTTATGTAGAATTCAATGCATTTTAAATTTCATTAATTAATTTAAGATGTATGGTTCAAATTCTACTTGGAGATTATTTGAAATCGTATTAGAAAAGATTTTGGGGATTACTTTTAATCATCTTCAAGAAGATTTGTTACATCTTCTAGTTAAATTAACGTGAGTTTGCAAATGAATTTTAGAAAATTCTAGCTTTTCCCCAACATAGCCAGTCTTAGAATTGATTCTTGCTATGATCGGACTCATGGGCCTAAGCACTTTGGTTAAGTTGCTCAATGGCTTGTATGGTTTGTATCTTTAGAATGTTAAGGGGCTTGTTTTGGTTTTAGAAATGTTCAATTCAATTGGAAAACATCTAAAATTTATTTCTTGATTTTCTCTAGGATAGAAATTGAAAATGAGTTTCAGAAACCAGACAACCACTCAAAATTTTGAAGATTTCATATTGGTCATGTGTTATATATGATATATTGGATAGTTGAGTCCATGCAAAAAATGATTGTAATGGTGGTGGTATAGGTGTCTATCCAGTGAGACCACAAGTGCCAGCAGTTGGTGGTTATGAAGGGGTCGGGGAAGTATATGCTATTGGCTCAGCAGTCAAGAATCTTGCACCTGGTGATTGGGTCATTCCCTCACCACCCTCTTTCGGTACTGTATTTCATCTTTATGGTTTGTTTTCTTCTCATGCCACTACAATAAGTTCCTTTAGGATTCACTAAAACCAAAGCTGCTAGTCACTTTCTTTATTTAGAAAGTTTTACAGTGGGTATCATTTTTTCCAAGGCAGGCAGTGGGCTGCAAATTTTTCTTATTTTAATGTACCATACTCAATCAAATAAAGTTAAATGGAATTTCCATGTTCTCCTCTAGATAGATTTGATGAACAAACGTCATGGTCTAATTCACGTGGCAATGATAAAATTTGTTGTGGCCAGGAACTTGGCAGACATATATTGTGAAGGAGCAGGATTTGTGGCACAAAATCAATAAAGATTCACCAATGGAGTATGCTGCTACTGTTACAGTTAATCCTTTAACTGCTTTGAGAATGCTCGAAGACTTTGAGACTCTAAATTCAGGTTCAGCCTCATTTATAAGTTAATATTCTTATGCAAGTTTATAGCTGGTCTTCTCTGTCTCATTTTGGCGTGAGCAGGTGATTCCATCGTACAAAATGGTTCTACTAGCATTGTGGGGCAATGCATCATCCAGCTAGCACGATTTCGTGGCATCCATAGCATCAATATTATAAGGGACAGGTGCTTCATGGGGCGTTCAGTATAAATTTCTAGAGCTTGTATGCATCTAAATTTATTAGTCCATAATGCTTCGAAAATTCAAATTCAAGTACTTTGGTAAAATGAACAACCCTTTCTTGATTAAGCTTTGGAAACATGAGAAACAAACTTGGTTACTTTTTTTATATTATGGTGAAGTTAAGTGACTGGCATGAGTTGCTGGATATAGACCTTTATTTGCCATATTTTCTTGCTTTAGGGCTGGCTCCAATGAAGTGAAAGAACATTTAAAGGCTCTAGGTGCTGATAAAGTGTTCACGGAGAATGAACTTGAAGTGAAAAATGTGAAGAGTCTCCTGGTATCATCATCATCTATGACATTTTAGTTACATCATCCTAAATATGCAGTTGTTGTTCCTTTTTTTCTTTTAGTTTTTGTTGTACTTACAACAATTACAGCAGTTTTTGTTAGCATACCCTGTTTGGTTGAGATGCTTAGACTTTTAACTCTTAACTTATTTTGCACATCCAATTGCCTTCTAGACCAATTTACCTGAACCTGCTCTTGGATTTAACTGTGTTGGTGGGAATTCTGCTTCGTTGGTTCTCAAATTTTTGAGGTAAGACGAGTGCTTTAAAAAATCAGCTCTGTTCTAATTGTCATAATAAACTATCTTTTAGTTTTTATTTTCTAAATTTGTATACCTTATCTATACAAACATATAAAGTAGTTGAAAAGGATAGTATTTTCGGAAGGAGAGTGAAAATGAGGATGGAATTTGAGAAGAATTTTTTTTTTTTTTGAAATATGGAATTTGAGAAGAATTAAAAGTTGTTTTGATAATTTCTAGGAATCTTTTTTTATTTATACTTTGATTATTCTGCATGTTATCGATCACCACATGTATAAACACATAAATTTAAGAAATAATAGCAACAAAATGGAGCTTAGTTTCTCTTGGAAGTTAATGAACTCTTGACTTCAGGCAGAGTGGGACAATGGTTACATATGGCGGAATGTCTAAGAAGCCAGTCACTGTGTCGACTTCATCCTTCATTTTTAAGGTATTGTGCAGGTCCAACATTTTTTGCGTATAATCAATCATTAGCTCCCAACATCTGGTGAATAGAAACTGAAAACATAGACAACTCAGTATCCTATGATTTCTCTTGTGGTTTGATCTTATTGTTGTGTAAAACCTAAGGTTTTTCTTTGATAATTCAGTATCCTATGATTTCATTTTTTTTCTCATTTTACATAAATTATTAGTTTTTTAGGTTATTATTTTATACATTTTTATTTTTCTTACTATTTCGATTTATCTGGCATTGAACTTCTACTTGCTCACGTTTAAAATATCAAACACATGCCAATATTCTCTTAAAAAGACTAATGATCTTATCCAAAATGGCAAAAACAAAATCATAGGAGCACTTCATTATGATAGAAAACATGGATTTTGAACTGCAATGAAGTCAAACCAAAGGATGCAAACTTATACTTTTAAGGGTCAAATCGCAAGATGGGAAATTGTATTTTGTCTTTAAGAGGAAGAATAGATACTGACTTGTTTTACTTTGTGAGACCTGTAAATTTCTGTAACAACATTATCAATTAACGACCTTCATCCATTATTTAACCTGTTAATGCTTGCAGGACCTTTCATTGAGGGGATTCTGGCTGCAGAAATGGTTGAGTTCTGATAGAGCAAAAGAGTGTAGAAGTATGATCGATTATCTCCTCTGCCTTGTCCAAGAAGGCAAGTTGAAATACGAGTAAGTTCTTCCCTCTATACACTCTTGCCTGACAGACTTCTGACCAAAAATATGATAGCCAAGAATGTTTTTGTTGCAGAATGGAGCTGGTTCCTTTCGACAATTTCCACACTGCTTTAGATAAGGCACTTGGAAAACTTGGGAGCCAACCCAAACAAGTCATCAAATTCTAAAGCTTGTTTGCGGTTTTCTAGTTAGCCAAACAAGGGTTTCCCTGGATCATGTTGTTCAATTTTCTTGGTATTGCATTATAAGGGAAACCTAGTGATACCCCCTAGGTTTAGGGAACTAATGAATATTTCTCTCAGGGATGAAGAGAACTGCTTGCAGATTGCTTATCTGTCATAAGTTACTTTTATATCATCCAATATTCTAATAGAACAAAAATATAAAAATCTTATATATAGAATTAAAATGATATGTTCTAAGTTTCATGAATTCTAATGAGATTTTAAAAATGATTTTCAACATCTCTTAAGATAAATAAGTGAACTTTTAAATAAATTCCGATAAAATTTTAAGTTTGGTCTAAATAAATAAATTGCTTGACTTCCAGTTTATGTTCGCTAAATAATTATATCTTAAAACTAATTTTGATGGGTAACCTTTTTGATTACTCAACATTTAATACTCAGCAATTGTTAGTGCTGCTTCTACTATCATGCTGGGATTACCACTTGTTCTGTATGGAAGAGGGCAATAGATACATGAGAGCTGCAAAATCATCACAGCCAAAAAGTACCAATGTTGTCTGCTCAGAATCCACCCACTAGTCTTGAGTTTATTCCATCTTAAATATATTAATGTTAATAAAAGTCTATAACCAAGGTCACTTGCCGATAATGGCAAACCAATTTCCTTTCGAGATCATACAGGAACGCAGGCAATTCTTGAGAGCTCGGAGGAAATTTCCAAAGTATCATATATGACATGTTCTTTCTGCTTTTACTTCTAAATCCCACTGCAAAAAGAATATGTCGATCAAAGTGAATAACTTCTAGTTCCAGATATCAACAGCATTATAATTAAAAGCGTGGATTAGGAGCTTACTGAAAATTGATCCCGACTAGCAAGCGAAAATCGTTCGAGGCTCATCCAAGTAGTTAATCATATTCTCATATATAGAAAAACTCAAATCATGAATAAACGATTAGCATGTTTTTTACAAATAAACAAGTAAAAGCAGTGGATCGCCGAAAAAATGCCTATCGATTTTTATTTAAGCACACTCTTTTCTCAGAATATAGTCCACTGCTTCTTCAACAGTGTCAACAACCTGAAAAGACAACAGAGCATAACGGCTTAATTTGTAGATAAAAATAGTAATGTTAATAAAATAATAATAATAATAATAAAGACATTTATTGGGCTCATCTAGAAGGTGTTCGACTTAGTTTAAACAAAGCAGCTTATAAGCTGTAAAGCTCTTCATTAACCTAAACCTATATGTGAGCTTTTGGTGGTCAAGCTACTTAGTCAACTATACCTAATATATTTTGCTTATATATTTATGTGAGCTTTGAGTGGTTTAGCTGTTGTTTCAAATACAATAAAATATTTTAAAAGTTTTAATCTCTAAGCTTGAGAGTAATCTTTACCTTTTATTTGGTCAACACCAACGTATTTTACAAGGTGTACAAGTTCTCTAAAGAAATCACCCCTAACAATTTTGAAAACACGTTTTTCAGATACTCTTTTTTAGATCAACTTTCAGAATACATAACAGGGAGCTGGTAAGTTCCTTATCTCATACCAAACATGTCACTAATAATCTTAAGTTCTTAGCAAACATAAGTTAAGGCGAACATCCTCTTAATGCATAGTAATGATTATCCTACCAGATCTGCCGGAAACTCATCATGATTATCCCTTCCCTTGAAAACGCCAGTCCCAGTCAAAATTGAAAACCAGGGGTCCCCTGCCTGGCAAGCAATATATAATAGGCATATATGAATATAAAAGGACAAAATCAAAAGCAAAATACAGACAAAAATATAAAGAGTAAAAACTGAAACATACTCCTGGTCCTAGTGGTGAAGACATTCCTAATCTAAGAAAACAAACCTGCCGTGCACCTCTTACATCAACCTTGGGATTGTCTCCAACCATATATAACGTGTTGAAATGGTGACTTCCGGAGTTTGAATCATCGACAACATGAAGATTGCCATGAAGGGATGACACCAGTTGCTTTAGAACATCTTCAGCATTCTTGAATACAAATGGATTTGGCTTCCCAAAAGATGTATACTCTAGCGGATTACGATGAATCCTGCATATCAAAACAAGCACCAATAGAACAATCTGACACCGCTTGAAATTTTATCAGGTTCCACAGATTATGTGATATCGCCACATCTTGGCCTTGTCAACAATGGCTGTAATTAGCCCTTTAAAAAACCCGACATCACGTGATATGAGATTTAATGATTTTATAATTTCCAAACTCCACATCCTACTACCTAGAGCCATTGGTTTAGTGGCAACATGGTCCAGAAGCGGTGCTTCCTATTGTGGGTCAATCCCACTAACCTTGGTTCTACTGCATGGTATTATGTTACAGCAAATCTTGGCTCCTGAACTATTGCTGTCAACTATATATATCTAACAAATTCCCAGGGAAAACCTACAATAGTTTAGCAACATCTTTATATTTTGAGGCCCTCACCTATTGTAGATGGATTCTAATGCAATTCTGAAAGCTCCCATACCAAGACGTTCTGTTGGAAAAGTAGCCTGCCTTTGGTGACACCAAATCAGTACAAAATCTAATTTTATAGAAAAATAGAAAATAACAGTTGCCATCAGAGTTAATATCAGATAAACCTGGTATTCAAGATCATCATTTGCGAAGTATAAATGAGGCTGGGTTCCCATTTCTCTCCCAGGAAGACCTCCAGTCCTTAGAATATCACAAAGGACCTCAAACAGACATACATCAATAGTCGATCAGAACTAGAGATTAGAGAAACATGACAAGAACCTTAATGCAAGATAAACAGAAGAAGCAAATAGCAGAATAAGAAAAAAGGAACAAATTTTTAACATGCCATTCCAACATTCAAATTTAGTGAGTTACGATTACTCAAGGCTAAAATTCCTGTCAAACTAACTTCCAATTGCTTCTCCAGAAATATGAAAGTAAGAACCAATGACTAATTTATTCACTATCCATGGGGGAATAAAAAAGATCATGCTTTTTCTCCTCAAAAAAATAGTAAAACCTGTTCCTTCAAGAGCATAAAGGTCTTTTATTAGGCCCTTAATGCTACATTTATAAGAAAATTTTCACAGTGACAATCGCTTCAAGAAAAGGATGGCACCACTACTATAAAGAGGACGCGAAGGCTCTATCCTAATTATGATTGTTAAGCCTGTTCAAAGGAATTAAGCTCTTTCTAGAGTTGGAAAACATTTTTCAGATCTAATCAGAAGTCTAATAAATGAGAAAGAGCTTCAGGTTGTTTACTAGCTATAGAAGTGAGAAAACCTGAATATCTCTGCTCCAATCAACAGAATCACTGACAACAAAAGCCGCCTGCACTCTCTGTGAGCAAATGTTGTCTCTTGAACTCGTCTTCTCCAAGCTATGACCTAACTCAGATTCCTGCCTGGTAGACCACATCTTGTATTGTACCAATGGGTCGATGTTGTCAAAGTAGGATGTATACTCGTCTATTGAAACGACATTTCTGTGGATAAGCCAAAATGAGTTAAAGTTACTTTGAAACAGAGAAGTGGCAATAAGAAGGTCCAAAAGAGAAACAAAAAAGGGTCGAAAAATTACCTAAACCCATATTCAGACATCACCACAGCGGGTTCCCCTTTTCCTACTGCAATAATGAGGTCATTCTCAAATCTGTGTGATGGAAGTTGAGAATTAAGAAATAAGGGTAAGAATACATGACTTCATCCTGTCATCTTCAGATCTTAACACCTATTCTTGTTTGGAATTCTCTCTCCTTTAAGATTTAGAATGCTGTTAAAGTGTACTATTTTCTTTTAGAGGAAAGCAGAACCAAAATTCATTCAAAAGGCTACAAGACTTGGATCCTACTTAGATCCTATAATTTTAACCCACCATTTTGCATCTATAAACTTCCAGTATCAGAATTTTAGTCCATAAACTTCCACTATTGCATCTATAAGATGATATTTTGACTGTGGTACCTACATGAATTTTCCTTGGTGCATATCTAATGAAAATATCATCTAGTTCATGAATTACTGACCCTTCTATGTGGCCCTAAATTTCCCATGATATTTGCAACCAAGCAATGATAGGCTTCATTAATGTACTGATACAATTCATCTTCCATCATAACATGGATTTTATGGGCCTAGATGTGCTGCATGTGCAGAAAAGCTAATTTTTACAATGCAGCTTGATTAGTTAATATCAGATAAATGAACCAAAGTACATATCATATGCCATGATAAGACATCAGTATCATTAATCATTCCAAATACACCGAGATGCAAAACCTTCATTTCTTTTTTTCTCTGATAAAACTTTTCAGGGAGAAGTGTGAAAGAGCCCCCTACATGTAAATGTCGTCTATATCTTTAGTCATTTTTTATATTGTTTAACTTAGACTACCAAAAAACAAAAAAACTTAGACCGTGTCTTCACGGCCACTAGATTCCACTTAATTCCAGTAATCTATAAGTTATGCGTGAATGAATAATTGAATATGTTCAATTCAGGACTTAACCATAGATCACACAATTCAATTGCATACTTGTTTACCAGCTTCCTGAAAGGTGAATGCCCCTGCACAACCTGCATTGAGATTCCAGTCAAAACAGTTCATCGAAAAAAACTGACACAGACTACAAAAAAAAAATAAATGTATTGGTAAATTTTCAAAATAATCTTTCTCAGCACTACCTGGGAAGGATAAATATTTAGACCCAGGAGTTGACTTAACTCCAAGGCTCTTTTGGATTCAGGAAAACCACCTCCTGTTGAAATCAAGAACTAACAATGAGTAGTTGAGTAGTATACTACATAAGCCACTAAACTAAGAATATATAAGCAAAAATTTATCATGAATCCCAAAAAAAGAGATACAAACATGCAAAAGAAATATCTATTTCATATCATCATTAACACACATGAGGTCAACATAAATGCCAAATCGGCTTAGGATACAGGCACTAAATGGATTTTAGTCCTCTCAAGATGCATATTCAAATGGAGAGTCTAAGTCACAGTTGGATTGGTATCCAGAGGTTTTGAAGTTCTTATCAAAATGCTTGTTTTGCCATTTCAGCATCTACTTTCTTTTTATAAATAACTGTACTTCAAAATTCCATTATTACTTAAAACAAAACTTAACCGTGAACTAGAGCATCCAGTTGAACACATAATAAACTATCCCCAAGCCCAGCCAAACAGAGAATTAACATTGTTACACCATCATTAGCAAACAATTTCTCATTATTGCAAAATGCTCGAGCAATATTAAGATCAAAATAAGACAGACAATTAACAGCGTCCTTTAATAGGAACAAAAGAATTAAGATGAAAAAGAAAAAAGAAAGAAAAATGACATGGAGGAGGACTCACCATTTGTCAAGAAAATGTAAGGCACCTTCAAAGTACCTGCGATTACCACGATTATTAAATAAAAAACACAAGTAGAACTATCTTCTATAGATATATATATATATATATGTACACACACATTGAATTATATAAAGCACGCATTCGTCTAGATACTTAGTACGTCAACTTTACCAGATTCATCGTATAGTCGTTTTAGGGCGCGAGTAGAGCCGCCAACGGGAGCATGGCCGAGCAAAACGACGCCGTCAATATCGAAGGCAATGCCAAAAGAAGAACTGTTTGATAATGGCAATCAAATTCAAAGATTAAGCACTTTGATTGCTGTTAGAGCTTATAATAGTTATATACGCATTGATAAAAAAGCTCGGAGATGAAACTGCACCGTCCCGACTGCGAGGAAGTGAGCTGAGAGAAGGAGCGTGAGATCAGAGATGATAATGGAGATAATCTGTGCTTGTTTCGCGGACGTGAAGATCTTCTTGCGAGAATTTGCAAAAGAACCATTTGTTACGACCGATGGATCTAAAAACTAGAGCTAATGAAATTGCTTTAGAGCGTTCAGTCTTCTGTGTGTTTTTCTTTTTTTTTTTTTTTGAAGGTTTCAAGATGCAAGAATTATTTTAGCTTTTATAATTTTAATTTTGATTCCAGAATAAACGTTTGTAAATTTCTTATAATATAATTTCTAAGATTTTTTATTATAATTTAATTTCTAATAATTTTTTATTTATTTTAATATTTTTATTTTTATTTTTGAATAAAAGTTAAAATAATTATATTATATTTAAATGTTAAAAATAATTCTAATAATTAATAAACTAATATTATTAAGTATATTTTTTTATTACTTTAATTAATTAGTTAAAATTATTAAATTAAAAAATATTTAGAGAAAACCAATTATTTTATTTTTTGTTAAAAAATAAATCTTTAAAATAAATAAATAATTAAATAATAATATAAATCATAATAAATATCAAATATAAAAAACTAATAATTTTAAGATAAGTTCGATCGAAATATTTATTATACTTTCGAGTATTTGCTTGTCGAATTTTCAGATCAATTTACAACAATTTTGACATTAAAATAACAATTATTTAATAAAATAATTGAATATTTGGCTTCAATTTAATCGTGATCTTTTATTCGTGATTAAAAGTTTAAATATGTGGAGATGTGTTTAATGAATTAATAATTAAAAGAGAATGACAAATTTTCAATGCAAAAATTCAATTATTGCAAAAGAAAAAAAGTCCATATAATTCAAACTGGAACTGGAATGAAGTAAAAACAAGGGATTAACCTTACCCAAAAAAAAAAAAAAAAAAGGAGAAATAATTTCCAAAATATATGCAGAAAGTCTTGGAGATTCAGGTTTTGATCAGCTGGTTAGTGAAGGAAAAAGTAAATGATAACCATTAAAGACATGCTAATAAAACCTCCATGGAAACACTTGCAGGCATGCACGGAGAAATTACAAATATCAAACAACTTCCATTAAAGCAAATAGTATGCAAGAAAAACACAGTTAACCATGCAATTGGTTTCTCTTATTGTTTTCTTGTCATTGACAAATTGCATATACAATATAAGTATATAATCATATATCTATATAAAACACTGCCAGAAACAGGGAAACTCGGAAACTAGCTCCCTTTTTTTGCAGACAAGCCTTAAAAAGGCGTGATTGGATTCTTTAAAAGAATGAATCCACTACTCTCCCTACTTCAACCGATTTCAAAACAACAAACCCTTTTACCCTCTCAATACCAGATGGAGGAGAACCTATCTCCCCCCATATCTTTCTGCTTGTACAGATTCCCATCTCAACATAGTACACATATGCAAGCCTTTCTAAACCGAAAACATAACCAGGGCAGAAGCAAAAATATAGAATTTGTGTTCGGAGAGAGATTACTCAACCATATTATCCGGATTGAAGTTCAATGACTCCCTCCATATAAGCTCTTTTATATCCTCTTCATCCAAGGTTGTTTGTTCGAAATCGAAAACAAAAGGAGATGAGCAAGTCGGCTCCTCATTGATCTCATGAAGACTTGACAGAAATGGATGATTCAGTGCTTCCTCAACTTTATACATGAGCCACATGAAATTGACGTTTCTCATCAGAAAAGGAAAGAAACAAAATGAACTATATAGTTTTGAGTAAAGTACCGAAAGGAAAATAAATTAGTTTGCAAAACTAGCATGTCTTGATGTGTAACATATTTACATTAATAACACAATCAAAATTTTACTCAATAAATTTTATTAATCAAATCCGTTTTCTATCAAAATATTAGTGGAAATATGATTACACATCAACATGTGCCGATTATACAAAATAATTTCTCTAGGAAACGTACCGGTAATACGTTTACATGGATCAAACACAAGCATTTTTTCTGCAAGATCAATTGCCGCAGAGGAAAAGTCAGGAAACTTCTGGGAAAATGGTTGCTTTGGACTATATGGAAGTTGTTTAACATACTTCCTAGCATTGTCACTTCTTACAAATCCAAGATCCAAATCATCCGGTGAACCTAGTAGCTATTTTGATAATAATCAAGAAAGAAGTTTTATTTGTAAGTACATGTTGTACCACAATGAACCGAAGCTACAAGCATAATATCATAATCATGATTTTGAATTGTTACATTAACAAATGGTGGATACCTCAGTAATCAGTCGCAACTGCTGAACATAGTCTTTGCCAGGAAAAAGTGGCTCCCTTCTGAGAATCTCCATGAGAATGCAACCAACTGACCAAATATCGATAGCTACAGTATACTCTGAACAATTTAGTAGCAATTCAGGGGCTCGATACCACCGGGTTACAACATATTCTGTCATTAGATCTGTCTCTAAAACAGTTCTTGCAAGCCCAAAGTCACATATCTTGAGATCACAGTTAGCATTGAGAAGCAGATTGCTTGGTTTCAGATCTCGGTGCAGAACATTTGCAGAGTGTATATATTTCAGTCCCCGCAACAATTGATATAAGAAATACTGGTAGAAAAACGTTAAAGATAAAAATTCAAACACAGCCTAACCATATATCTTGGTTTCAGATACACACCTAAGCTCATATGTTGCAAGTACACACAAGTTTTCACTTATATTGAGGTATGACTCAGCCTAATGGCATGACCATGCATCAACGCCACTATTTTGACAATAAAAAGTCAATAATGCAACATTTAAGATGATATTCATCGATGTTTAACTCAGTATGCAGATGAATTACCAATCTCTGATTAACAAAAATTGCGGCTAGAATTTGCAGTAGAAATGAGGTGGTCTATTTGATATACTAGATGATTTAAAATGGGTATCATTATACCGTCAGTTATATTCATCCGCAGCCTATCAAAATTTTTCATTGGTGAAACAAACTTCAAGTGCACAACCCTGATATAATTGAAGAATAAATAATAGTCTGTTGGGAGGGAAAAGGAGGAGAAAACTAACCTGACAATGATCATCAGTCAAAGCCTGGCTAGACCGTATTATCTGATTTAGATCAGTATCCATTAACTCATTAACAATATATACATCATTAAACTTGTCCTTCTCTGGCGGAGGTATAATGTCCTTGATTTTGATGACCTGCACAGTATATTGCCATGACTGATCTTGACAGCATAACAAAAATAAAAGAAAAAGATCCAGTATTCTACAGAATATCCTTTTGCAAACTTACAATTCACCTTCAAAATAACATGCTATTCACAATATTAAGGCTGTATCTGGTTCAAATTTCAATTCTACTAAACAGAAATAGAAATACAATACAAATGGGATAGAAAATTTGAAGGAAAACAGTATGTTAATTCGAAGTTAGTTTCATACTCAATTCATATCAGGTGCTTTTGTGTCCCCCTCTCCTGACTAGTTAGAATGCAATTCTATTGTTGTAGAATGAATATGTGAAAGTAATTGTTTTAATCATGCACCAAATATGGAAACTAAAATAAATTCTACATACTAAATAACTAATATATAGGGATAGAATAAACTTGAATCAAATAGTGCATAAATTCCATTTTAAATGTAACTGAAAGTAGGGGGATCAAATATCAGTAGCAAGGCATATGCATATCATGATAACGAATGGAACAAAAAATTTATGCTAACAGAAAATAGATTAAGAACAATGACAGATCGTATTGAACCAGGAACCATTAGAATGGCAAAGTCTTAAACTGAAAATGTCTTACATTCTCATGATCCATGTGACGCAAAAGCTTAATTTCACGAAGTGTTCTTTTAGCATCAATCCTGTTATCAAAAGCATTTCCGATCTTCTTTATTGCAACCTCTTCATTTGTGTCCGAATTCATTGCACAGCTGTGATAAAAAAATATATATCCACCATTATAACCACATGCAAAGTTTAAATCTCACATGCTACTAATCTAAAACATAGAATTCTAACATTAAACAAACGAGTCATAGCAAGAGAAACATATCGAACATACTAAGATTAGTTTCTTCAAAATTCAAATTAAGGAATGAGCCTACTCTTAATTATTGGAGTAGGCAATTTTACACCAGTTCAAGTTTCATGTGCTCATATAAGTACATTTTTAGTACGTAAGCAACAGAATATGGCTTCCTTACCCGCTCAAGATTTTTGAAAATTGATTCAAAATATATCACTTAAAATCTATAACATTTTTGAAAAAAAAAAAAAAAAACTCATTTCAAAATTAAATACAAAACTCAATTTGCCAAATCTATGCTCTACTTGGAACAGAAATTCGATCATCTTCGAAGCATAAAAAGTAAAAAAAGAAAATGAATCTCCTCATCCAATCTATAGAAACACAACTGTCAATCCAAAAATTCTAAGGAAAAAAAAAAAAAAAACACACACACACACACACAAGCACACACGCACGCGGAGCTAACAGCTCACTACTTGAGATTAACAGAAAGCTAAAACAAATCCAAACAAGTAAACCAAAAATCCTTTTCCAACCTTCAGAAAGCAAGAAAAGCACTAACCTACGAACAAAAACAAAAGGAAGGGAAGAAAGTTACCAAACGATGCCGTATGCGCCGCGACCGACGGGCTGTATAGGAGGAACATACTTGGAGGAGACCTCAAAGATATTACCGAGAACGTTATACAGCACGTACCTCCCTCCGTGTGTTGGAATTCCCAGTCCTCTTTCACCTGCCATTCTTGCTTCGTTCTCCATCTTTCTTTCTTCTCTGCTTCGCTCTCTTCACGCTCAAAAGTACAAAACACAGAAACAAACTTCTATTTGTTGTTTTCCTCCCTCGATAACAAAAATGACGTTTTTTTTTATTTTATTTTTAAATTAACTTTTATTATCACAGAAAATATCATATTTCTTATTTAAATTTTAAATTTTCTTGTCAATAATAAAATAGCTCAAATATTATTAATAAAAAGCAATTTTAAATTTGAGTCTTCTTTTCGTCTAACATAAAAAAATAATAATAATAATAAAAATATTTCTCCCCTAAAGTATATTAAAATTTAAAATATACATTTTAATATATGAATTTAAAGCAATAATTCCATTAGTTTTTAAAAATAATTTTAATCATGCCACATTTTTGGATCGAATATAAAAGTTGATTTCCACCCAAAACAAGATGTGAGATTAGATATAGAGTCTTCCCCTTTTAACTTATATATATATAAGTACATTTATATTATTTTATTGAAATTATATATATATTTTTGGTCTATAATTAATTATCTATTTATTATATTAAAAATAATTAACTTTTTGGTCACCCTTTTGCTTTTGGTGGGTTTAAAATTAAATGGGTCGTGCTTTTGAATTTGTGTCTTTTTTCAATTTCAAATTTGAATGTGAAATTTCTGAAGTCTACATATTTAGTGTTTTAAAAAATCAACTGAAGTGGAGATTGACCAACGCTTGAAAAGTCTACCGTCTACACTACGCCCATTCTTGTTCACTTAAAAAATAACCGTTTTCTTTTAAACGAAAAATAAATTATCGATTGAACGGCGTGGGTAATTTTATTAATCGTTAAAATTGTTTTTAATAATTAAATGAGGTTTAAATTTTGGTAATTCCTAAAATTCTAATGCCGGTTTGATAAAAAAAAATAGAAGAATAAATTAAATAAAACTTTAATAATTATTATAATTTTATCACTAATATTATTTTCTATTATAACTGAATATTTAATACGTTTCCTTATTTTAAACATTCAATTATAAATTTTATTTCTGACCAAAAAGAATTAGAATGATTAAATTACATTTGAATAATCTAATAAAAATTTAAAATAAAATATTCGTTTATTAATTAAATTAATAATAATTAAAAATAAATCTCTGCGGTTATTAATTTATTTATATATTAATTTAATTTTATATCAGCCTCACACTTTCATTATTCGGCCAGCTATCCACACGCACAATCCTAACAATCTACGAGCAATTTGCAAACACGTCACTACATTACGTCATTACCACACGTCAGATCTCACGTGATGCCACGTGTTATCATCTGCCACGTTGGTTTTCATGGGTCACACCAGGCGATGCAGCCCAAAATGTCAGACCATAACTTATATATCTTATTTACACCCAAAAAATTAGAATTATTTATTCAATAAATCATTTTAAAATTATATACAAATATATTTTTCAATAATAAATTACAAAAAAAATTCGTAATATTAAGTATAATTATAACTGCATTCATTGTTATTTTAGAACAATATACATTTCATTTTATTGGGGTAAAGTTTTGAAATATATAATAAATTTTTTCAAACAAATATATAATTATATTACCATTTTTTTAATTATTTGATAATCGATTGACTGTTATAACTTTGACATCTATAAGAAATGAACTTGACATATATGTTTTTTGCAATCACTTCACTGGTATTTTTTTAAAAAAAAAAAAAACAGTGCCCCTAATTGTAACTATATCTATATAAAAACCCTAAAACCTCTATGTAATTTACCATATATTCAATCAGAGAAATCACAATTCCAGTTAGCAATTCAAATAACAGTTTCCAGCTTTATGTACCCACATAAATTAGGAAGTTATAATACAACCAGTTTGGGAAAATGCAAAATAAACTAAGACTTTCAACAGGTTGCAGCTTAAAAAAAAATCATTATGAAAATTTATGGAATTTGGAACTTTAATCTCCTGATGGGTAGCTACCATTTTCACCAGTTCAAGTTCCTCTTACCAGACCAAAACCAGAAGGTCAATATCAAGTACAACAAATACATGGCATATCAAGGCTGCATCAACAATCTAATTCATCTCATATTGCTAACATGCTTGGCTTCAATGTCTTGAAGCCTAAGAGTCACTGCTCTCTTGTGCGCTTCCAGTCCCTCGACTTCTGCCATTGTTGCCACGTATGGCCCGAGCTTCTGCAGACCTTCTGCAGTCAAAGATTGTACCGTCATGTATTTCACGAAAGAGTCCAGTGACACCCCACCATACATCCGAGCATATCCATAGGTTGGAAGGACATGATTTGTCCCGCTGGCATAATCTCCCACGCTCTCTGGTGTCCACTGCCCTAAAAACACGGAACCTGCAGGAATGATAATTCACATACTTAAAATTCATAGTTAATAGATTCCCATCAAGATTCAAATTTCCTGATCATGATAATGTATCTAAGAAGGTTCTAATGTTGATGTAAGATTACTTTCTTATTCTCAAATTCAGATTATGACAATAAATGTAACGGCCAGACTAAAAAATTGGTAAGACTCTAGTACTATGCAAGTTTGTCTCAGTTCAGACATGATTTTCCATATAATACCAAAATTCTAAAGTTCCCAGACAAACCCAATCTTCCAGTAAAGAAAGGATTAGTCGGTATTTGTTCCTCCTAATCACCCTCAATCTCAACACGTAGACTAAATGAAATGTTAACTTGATTTAGGAAACCATAACACGGGACCCTTCCTCTCACTGGGATAAATACAAGCAGATACCTGAGATAACGATAATGCAGTTTTGTGGATAATAATTATAAAGGGTAATTACGAAGTCCTCGAGCGTAGAGAATAGTTTACGACTAAATTTATTATTTTAAAAAAATAATGATCTAATCCATGCACAACATATTTGTAATTTCAATTGAATTTCTAAACAGTCATCAACTAGTTATATGTATCGAGAAATTAACAAAATAACAAATAATTCTACTTGAAAAACAAAAAGAAAAGAAAAATAAGAACTTTAGTTTATATAGTAAACAAAAAATAATAATGAGCATTTGTCTCTAACTACAGGTGTGCATAGCAGCATATTCTGTAAATAAGTCATTAAAAGAATATATATCCATTGAAGGACAAATTTGTTATTTTCAATTACCGGACATTCTTGTAATTCTACCCAAATAACAATGACTCATGTAATTTACCATAATTACAACGAAAAACATGGACAAGACTCTTTGAAACATTAAAAGGAAGCATAAAAGGATAGGCAACGCATTTATATACACTGTGCAAATACAACGGTAGAAACTGAAACCAGACTGGAAAATACAAAAATAATTACAACAAACCACAATAATAGATAAGAGAAGCGTAAAGCAGCATTATGGCTAACCTGCATTATTGATGAAAGCCTCCCATTTCTCTGCATCTTTTACATTAACAATCAAATGCTCAGGTGCATATAAATTTGAAAACGAGACTGCCTAAAATATCCAATAATCACAAGAACCTTCAGAAACAATATTTAAGCATCCTCATTTGGAATTACAACAGCAAAAATATACAGGCAATGGGTTCATAAAATACAACAGGCCTCGAAGTGCGAGTACGAAAGATTGCAGAAGAGAATACATAACAAAATAGATTTGGGACGAACCTCTATCATATCATGAGCAAGCACAATGAAACTATTGCTGAGAGCCTTTGAAGCAAACTCTCCCCTTGGAAGGCTCTGGCACTGTTTACTGATTTCCTCCTCAATAGCTTTTAGATCCACTCCATCCCCCACAAGAACAAGAACAACCTGACTATCAGGGCCATGCTCTGCCTGAAAGATGCAAACTAGTTACTTCTAACCTCAAAGTTATACACATGAAACTTAAAAGTCATGATAAGCTCCTTTTTATCTGGAGACACAAGTTATACAAGTACAAATTTTAAAATATGATATAGAAAGACATACATAAAAGAAACACACTTTAACCAAACTGGAAAGAGGAAGCCATGGAAATGGAGGATCAATCATATTCACAGAAGAAGATAATGTCTTTACAGGAGAATAGTTCCTTCAGTTAATTTCATGTCAAACAGCACTTTAGCAAAATTGATAATCAAGGAAAAGTAGGATAAATCAAGCAAACACCTGAGAAAGCAAATCTGCTGCTATATGAACAGGACTGGCATGTTTGTCAGCAATGACCAAGACTTCTGAAGGACCAGCAGGCATGTCAATGGAAATCATTGCTTCGCTATTCTGTTGGGGAAACAAGATCAAAATACACCAAGTGAAGTTGAGAAGAAAACAATAAATGCAAGTGTATATATCTCTCTCTCTTTTTCCTTTTCTTTCTGAATAACATGAAAATATAAACAAGTCTCGGGAATAAGGAAACATATTTATACTTGAAGAATCATTTTTGCAGCTGTGACATATTGATTTCCAGGCCCAAATATTTTCTCAACCTGTAAAATCACAACAAAAAAATGTTTGTAGTTTATAGATCTCGTAGAACTGTCAACAGACTTATGATGCCTTGTACCAGAGTTTGGATGCAAAGACAAGCAGATCCAATAGAAGTCCTTTCGACTGATCTCTAAGATTTTGAATGAATGGGTAAACCATGATTCATTAATGAATAGATATGCATGTGATAATAGCCTTTTAGCTAGTCATTTAGATTTCTCAAATTATGTAGATCCTTCAATATCTTCTTTATCTAATAGTCACGCTTATATACTAGTCACATATAAGCATCGCATTCTAGCAACAGAAAAATAAATTTGAGGATGATCAGTACCTTGGGACAGGATTGTGTCCCCCAAGCCATAGCAGCTATAGCCTGTAAAGTGAGAATTATCCAACTACAAAATTTGACATAGAAAAAAAGAAACAATAACTATATAAAAGCACAAGATTACACATAAGCATTATTAATGCATGTTTTCACACCTGAGCTCCTCCAGCTTTAAGGATATGAGTAACACCAGCCTTCTTTGCACAGTATAGCACCTCCTGCAGGAAAACACCATAAGCTCTCCTTTTATACTCTTTTAAGATATTTCAGAAATGAAAGGAAATACCTTACAGATACTGCCATCCTTGCTTGGTGGAGTTGCAAGAACTACAGTTTGACATCCAGCAATTTGTGCGGGCTGGAATACAGGATCAGACATAGTTTTAGATCAAATTTGGTCACTGTCAAGAATTATAACAAAGATAATTGAACAATATACCAGTAGAATGTTAAATAGAGTATACATGACCAACATACAATAGAAAGCATTAGAGCTGTTGAAGGTAAAACAGCAGTTCCTCCCGGTACATAAAGACCAACAGAACCAATGCTCCTTGCCACCCTTTTGCATATAACACCCTGACAAACTTGTTACACTCAAGGGTTAATAAGAGATAAATTAGAGAAAGGAGAAAACAATAAAATACACTTACTTTCATATTTTCAACAGTTTTTTCAGTCGACTTTTGAGCAAGATGAAATGCATATATGTTCTGATATGCAACATCAAATGCTTCTTTAATTGTTGCATCAAGCTGCAAGAAATAAATGCGTAAAAGATAAGTGAATGCTAGAAACAAATAAATAAAATAAAAAACTATATAAACATGACTTGAAAGAAACTTAAAGAAATTCTTGATCTCACTCTTCTCTCTCCTACCAGTTAACTCAGTGAAATTCTAAATAAAGATAAAGAATGTTCCAATAAATACCTCTGGATCAGGAAGGTCAGAGACATTTTCAACAATCTGATTCAGTTGAACTTTGTCAAACCTTTCAGTGAATCTGCAAAAGGAGTGTATCTGCAGATTATCAAAGTTGAAGCCTTGCTACTAAACAAATCCATTGCCATAGGTAATTCCCTTCTCTTTCTTTCTCCTTTTCTTCATAATGAACCCAAAAGAGTTATTTTCTAACTAAAAGAATTTTTTTTTCACCTTTATGGGAAAATAAAAACCAACCAGAAGTTTAAAATATAAGTGTTAATATAGCATTAACAAAAAGCACCAACTGTTTAACTGCAGCATCGCCTCTATTTCTGACATCATCGATTATGGGCTGGACCTGCCAAAATATACATATATGTCAATGTATCCATAATACCATATTTGAATACCATAAAAATTTTCAGAATTTCTGAACAAGAGAAAACCAGGTTTGATGGAGACCAATGAGGCTTACTGTGCCAAAAATGGAAGAAAAGTCTATGCGAGGACGAGCCTTGAGGCTTTCCACCTCAGCATGAGTAAGCTCCGATAACCTATATGACTTCATTGAGCACCTTATATTGTTAAGATTCCGTCCTGTTACAGCAATGATATTGAGATAATAAGATGAGAAGCATGTATTTCCTTATATTTATGTATATATGACACAACATTACATATATATTTTCCTTTTCCATCAAAATTAAACATGTAACAGATGACACATTGAATCAAACTATGAATTTGAGAACAATTATGTCATAAAGGAGACTAATGAGGTATATCAACTACAAAGACATCTCATTCTTTTTTCCGTTTTTTAGAGCATGAGCTATGAAGATATTTCAAGTATGCTAACAGCAAGATGATTCTGCAAAAAAAAAAACTAAAGAGCAGTTGTCAAAAACATCGCATTACACTGCAACGCATTCTCTGAAAAAGGAAAAAGAACAAAGTGAAGCAAGAACACAATTTAATCAAATAACCATATAAATACCATCTAGGAGTCAACTATTTAGGCTAAATTTACTCTTTATACTGCACCATAACAATATATTCCAGTAGCAAAACAATTAAAAATCGATTAAACTATATACCTGCAAGAACACAATAAGATGAATGCTTCAGATTTTTGCTGGCTCGAACCAATTGAAACCGATGACTCTGCAATGATTTAACAAAAAAGTTGCTCCGGTTAATGCATAGAAGCTGAGCATCCATCACCAACCTTATTCAGTTATTACTGTACCCTGCGATAATCATAAAAACACTAGCATAAGTGGATCCTATGTCATTATGGTGACGGCTGGCTAAAAGGAAAAACCTAGCCCCTCTCTCTTCCTTCTGTCGACACCGGAGGAAGAGAAGAAGGTCTAAAGACCGTTTTCCAACACGACAACGTTTAGAGAGGTTCCTTTAGGGTGCAACTGGGCCGAGAAAGGCGAAAAGGAGAAGAAAGAAAAAAGAGACATGGGCTGGGCTTCCCTAGCCTGGCCCGAGGAAGGAAGTAAAAGAAAGGAAAGCATCAAAAAGATCGTCCAACGTCACCGTCGATTCAAACTTCCGTCGCCGATCAGCCCTGCCGATTCCGGGTACCCCCCGACCAGACTCACAACTGGGTGAAATTTTCCGGGTCAAGCCAGTTTGTTTTATTTCATTTTTAGCTCATCAGACTTTCTGGTCGGGTCAAATTACACTCATCGTTTCCATTTTCTCACTCTCACAAGTCAAACCCTAATATCTGAACAAGCATTACTTGTTACATATCGAACAAAATTGGAAAATCAGGAATTTTTTTGAAATTCTCAGAATACCCAAAGCTAAAAATCAACTGAATATACCATTTACATTACTTGTTACATATCGAAGCTAACCCAAATGGAAACCGGGTCTGCATAATCAGAACCCGGTAAACCCATAAAAAAGACAACAATGAATAAGAAATTCTATGAATACAGTAATAGATCACCTTTATCCATACCCTCTACAGAATAATACATCCAAAAGCTTCCAACATGGTGAGTTGAGCGAAGATCAATGCTTCGAGTTGGTATCTGAGTTATGCCCAGGAGGAGTAGCAGCTGGGGCTATGGAGTTCGAGCTAAGGCCCCCGCCACCTTCTTCCCCTGCTTTCTTCTTCTTCCCAGTCAACCCAATGGCGGAAGCCACAATCTTGATCATCTTAACCTTGATCTGGCCTCTCTTTGGAGGGAGACAGTGGTTTCTCTTCTTGGTGACCGCTGTGACCTCCATTGCTCTTAATATGGTTGCAGCTACAGGAAGAAAAAATGGAGAAACAACACAGAGTAGGAGACTTGGAGGAGAATTGAAGAGGTACTGGGAGATGGGTTTTGCAGTTTGGAGTGTTTGGAGTGTTTGTTTGAGAAGATAAGAGAGTTAAGCGAGAATGGTGGAGAATGAACATGCATACGTATATATATATATGTATGCATATGTATGTAATGGTGTATGGATATGATAGATGAAAGAAGTTGGTTGCTTGGTCGCCAAGACAACAGTCAGTTACGATGAAGAAGATGAAATGGACTGGAAGTAAAATCAGGTGGGTCAATTCAGTACAGGTAGAGTGCATTTTTTCTTTTTGGAAGTTATCATCTTACACGACTCTACTAGCTTGAAATTTGAAAGAAAATTCACTTATTTGTCAGTTCACACTGCAAATAAGGTGACATATAAAAATATTTAAATTAAATTAATTAATTAAAAAAATTGGAGATCACTATAATACAATGAAGATTTTTTTGCCTTCATATATACCCACACACACACACACACATATATATATATATATATATATATCTATTTAAGTTGTCAAACGAGTAATGTCCTAATCTAACACAAACAAAGGAATTCAAATTCATGTGAACAAATGTGAACAAGCAACATAAATCCTATAACATGTGCATAAGAATTTTACTATCAACGAGAGCACGAGGGATTAAGATAACAACTTGAAAATATGGCAATCAACTTGTATTTATAACACCGAACATTTATTGCATTAAATAAATTTTTAAAACGTGAATAATGTTATTTAAAAAAAAAATTATTTCAAAAATTAAATAATAAAATTTTAAATTATTTTACGAATTAAATATAATAAATAAATTTAATATTGAGTTTTGTTGATTTAAAAATATTAGTGATTGAATTTGGACCATTATTTTCATTTTTCCTCTATCAAATTAATAATCATACTATAAAATAAAAATTTAAAAATAAAACCCAATAGAGTTTCACAATTAAACCCTTTAAAAAAACATTATTGCGACTTAATTTTTTTTCAAAAAATCAATTTATTGACACTAATTAATATTTAGTAATCAAAAAGTTTATTTATTATTTTTTAATTAATTGCATACATTTCAAATCTTATGTTAAAATTAAATAATTTGAAATAGACAAAGAAAAGTCAAAATGTTGGACCAAAGGAAGCAATTAACTAGAGATGATAACTAGTTCGATTCAATATATATATATATATATATATATAGAGAGAGAGAGAGAGAGAGAGAGAGAGGGAGTTTTGATTATGAATTTCATTGAAAAATATGCACTCTTATCATGACCCACAATGCACACGTGCGGAAATTATTGCGTATGACGTAGTTTCTCTTCAATTGACTTGATTTCTTTCTTCTGGGAATTGAACCTGAAATTTACATGTGCATTATGTACGTATATATATATATATATATATGAAAATTAATCGTCATTATGCCGTCATGACTCGATAGAATAAATAAATAACGAAATTTTATTTTTCATACCTCCTTTTTATGGAAAACGTGTTGGATTTGGACATGAATTGGGCAACAAAACATTAGACTATTTGGTATGCATAATACATGGAGAGAAAAATGTATGTTTTATCATTGTTATATTCAAATATATATATATATATTATCCTTGTATGGGTAGATGCATTGCACCTCCAATATTATAATTTTTATAATTAATATATGCTAAAGTATGCACAATAATAATAATAATAATAAATGTGTACGTAATACCCTAAAAAATCGAACAGTTAAAAATTGATCTTAGAATTCAATGGTCCAAAGTCACCCATAACCCCATATAAGTTGTGATTTCATTGGGATCTCATGCAAATAGAAAGAGCTGGGAGTTGATGGTGACGGTGTTGAGAGCCAATGACAACGACAAAGGAAAAGATTCAAAGTG